ATACATATGGATATGTACTCCCTGGACTCCAACTAAACTCTCAACAACACACTGAAATAAAGATACATATGGATATGTACTCCCTGGACTCCAACTAAACTCTCAACAACACACTGAAAAAAAGATACTTATGGATATACCAAATTGGTTAATAATTTCTATAAATGTTAACTAAAAAGTTTTTTTTACAAAACAAAAGGCAATAAAAAGCATAATTTAAAAGTAAAATTTTGAATTTCCTTAGGAAATGTTATATCTGTATGTTATCCCGGTTCCAATGGATCCAACCCTGCAGACCTGTCTTATATTAAAGATTCTATGCTCGAACAGAAAACCGGAAAAGATGAAAAATTACCATTTTTGTAAAATCCCAAATTTCTCCCAGATTATCTGGTTGTGAGCAACAGGATAACCCCACCATGGCGGCAGGACCAGAGATACGAGAGGTCGGGGTAACTGTCCGCCCTGCTCCAGGTTCTCCACTACACCTGGCAAGGGTAGAGGAGGCACCCTGAAAACCGTCGGCAATCTTTTTCATCCCACTAAACAAATAGTTTTATCAAGTTGTATTTAACCCGTTAAGCTTAATAAATGGGATTAAAACATCAAACCCTAACTTTATCTCATTGCATTTTCGTTAAGGGACAAAGGTCTTATTTATTCCTAAAACTTTAATTAAATACTAAACACATTTATTATGAAATAAGAAAATACCAAACCTGGCATCTTCTCCTTGTGGTATGAAGATGCTGGAGCTACCCGAGTAGAAACCTAAACTCAGCAAACACTTGAACCTGTCTTCGTGCATTTTAAGCTCAGAAACCATCTTCATCTCCCTCCTGTCCTGCTCGGAGCAGGGTTCGGAGCTAGAACTACTAGGATACTCCAGGTCCGGGAATCCAACGTACAAATCATAGGTTTCCAGTAGGACGGTTATCATATCATCCTTATTCATCCTGGTTGTTAAGAACTCGGCCAGGTTTACTGCAATCTCTGAGCCGAGTTTATCGAACCCGAAGAGTAGGATAGGAGGACGGTTATCCGACCCTAAATCTTTACTAATCCTGAGCACAGTGTTGGATTCCATCTTGAGAAGCTGAACGTAACTTGGGTATTGAACAACCAGAGAGTTTAGAGATGTTGTCTTCTGGGTTAGATTATGATAAACCAGGTTTGATACAGCTCGACTCTCCAGGATTACATCACGTCGAGTCATCAGATCATCCGTCACGGAGAATCCAACCAGCTTAGTGATATGCTCCTTACAAGAGATCTCCATTTTAAAGGAACCTGCTGGTAACACGGAGATAAACTTTCCGTCCGAACCTGTCATAACAGTTCGTCCTACTAGTTTGATACTGGCTCCAGATATAGGTTTGTTTTGTGCATCCAGGACGGTTCCCCAGACTCCTTGATGTGCTCGGGAGAGAACCTTGAGCAATGGCGCCATGTTTTCTTTCCAATAGTCGAGAATGGTTTTTGATTTAGGAAAGTTACAGCATGAAATATGCGCGGAAATGGCGGGAACCTGGAAATTTTTCCAAGCAAAATCCAGGAAAGAATTAGTGTACAGGGTGGGAAGAATTTTACTCCCTTCAACGCTGCCCATTGGGAAAGTTTCTTTTTCCAGCTGTTTTCCATTAATATTCTTTCCCTGACAGGGATCTGATGTGTTGTACATGATAGGATGAGACTTTAAATACGTATTGGCGAGATGTTCCAGGACTCCGGTAATCTCCAGTTCTCCGGAACCCGGCGTGTCCCAAGGATATCTCACAAACATTCCGTTCCCTTCTATACTCAGTGCATAGTCGAATTGAACCTGAGACATGAGGGACTCAACTGCCCTGGCGGCAGGATCTTTGACGGGGTCGGAGAACAGGTTTCCAGTCTCCTGGTTCATCCTAGATACATCCTTGTAGGAGCATTGGGACTCCTCCGTTATCTTGAACCCGTTCATGTCAACGGCAGGCAGGATATAGATTTCGGCATTCTTCAAGATCATTGTGATCACATTGTCTCCAACCTTAAAAAATAAAAGTAATAATACAAATATTTGTATTGAATCCTCATGACCATAATAAATCTCAAAACTTAATTCTGATCAACCCAGACCGAAATCTTAAACCAAAATCTGCACACATTTTAAATAAAATAATCAAACATTTGTTTTATAATAAAATGGAAATTTGAATAATTAAAAAGATGAACTGTTAAAGTTGGTAGTTTTACGTTTTTACAAGAAAAACAAAACTCTGGAAAATCACTATAAAGATTGTACTAAACCCTGCTTTTTAACAATTCTAACGTTTAAATTTTAATCATTAATTTGTTATACATTATTTGGTAACCCCTAACTCGTTAAGTGTACAAAAAAAGTGCTTAGGATAAATTTAATTTTGATGCGTATGCGGATCCGGATCCTGGATCCGCACTGGAAAAAAATGGATCTGGATCCAGGTTATTTCTTTAAAATTTACTGAATTTAAGCAAAATTTTAAATTTAATGTCTTATTATTTTTGCTTATTTTTAAGCTAAAACTTTAAACTAATCAGAAATCAGGAAATTTTAATAATCTCTCCTTTTTACTAGTTCAGATTTGGGGTTTGAGAGCAATTTTTTTGTTGTTGCAGTTTTTGATTGATATTTTGCCCCTTGGATCCGTATATTTTTGCGGATCCGTATCCAGGAAGCCAAAATCTTGCGGATCCCCTAGGCACTGACAAAAACTGAAAATATTTCCGTGAAAGAGTCCAAATTCTTAAAAACAATTGTCATTAATATCAGTTATTTTTTAAAGTTTTAATATAAAAATAATTAAAATCTTTTTTCATAATAAAATTTGAATTAATAAAATAAATATAAAAATTAACTGTTAACCTATTGAAAGTTAGTTATTTACAATTTTACACAAAAACCTAAGCTCTGGAAAGTCGCTCCAAAAATTGCTTCTAAACACTTTTAACTTTTTTCTTTGATTAGAAGTACATTCTGTGGTAATCTTTAGCTCGTCGTGCTTAGTGTTGAAAAAAACTAAGATGTTTTCTATGATACTCCAAATTTTTAGATTTGAGTTTCCTTAAACATTTCATCAAATTTTAGTCAGACTCTCCAGATTCTTAAAAAACAATTTTCTATGTTCCTCAATTTCTTGTTTTAGAAGAAGACAGAACTGACCTTGACTCCCTCTCCGATATGCCGAGCTAGACGGATCAATAGTTCTCGTCCGATCGGTTGAGCTCCGTATAGTCCCCCAACCAGTAGAATCTTTACTTTAGGAATAGAATCGGTTAGAGCACTATCCGGATCCAGGGCAAGTCTTAAACCAGGAACCACCATTTGCCAGTCCGCCTCATTGATGAGTGCCTCGGCTAAAGAAGAGTAGGAGTTCTCTATATCAGCAATGGCGGATTTAATGTCGTCGTTAAGCATATAAGAACTCCGGTCTAGGTTCTTTACAAGGTTGAAATCATTGGATTTGGACCAGAGATCGGACTCGTCAGGGGAGAGGGTAAAGTTTAATACTGTAGCTGTTGGTTCTATATTGGATACTTCTACAGTTTGTGAGGTTGGATTGTAGAACGGAGCACTGACAGTGATCTTGTAAGTACCTGGAGCAAGAAGTCTCCAGAATTCACCCTCCGCAGTACTTCTTATATCATGATCTAACCCTTCAACAGTTATACTCGCGTTAACAACCGGATTATTGTTTGTATCCGTGATGAAACCTTTAACTCCGATGTGGACTGCCTCCATGTACTTGAGGAGAGACTCCTTGTTCTCCTGCCAGAAGGTCGGAAGGTTCTTACGCTCCGGGTACTTAATGCAGCCTAGCTCAAGGGTGATCTCGAAATCATTAGTGTTGAGATAGTTCCAGTCCTGCATACCTCCTGCTACACTGTACCAATTAGCTCCGTTCGTGATCCCAGACTCAAAGTGATCTCCGGACCCGGGGCAAGCGGTTCCAAGCTTCATCCTTGGATGGTTTAAACTGTAAATCTTGGCAAGATACACAAATGTTTCCTCATCCGGACTAGGATAGCTATTTCCACTGGTTTCCGTAGGGTTCGGAGTATCGTCAAACGGATAGTTTGCGACAAGAGAGCCGCCGTGTAGGTTGGCCGAAAGTACGAACGGATACTGTTGAGACCAGGACATGATGGCCGCCGTTTCCGGTTCTTGTACACTGTTATACTCGTTGGTGAAAAACTGATCTGGAAAATTTCTATTCAAATCTTTGTTGTTCGCATTGGGGCGTCCAACTAGAGATTGTCTATCCCCCTCTCGACCATTCTCAAACCCATCCGGGTTCATGGTCGGTAGGATGTGAATTCTAGTGGAATCAACAATCTTCGTCACTCTCTCGTTTCTCCCGTATCCCTCGCACAGGTATTTAATAAGTACCAGGAGTATCTCCCTCCCGACAACCTCATTTCCGTGCATGTTGCCTACATACTTGAACTCGGGTTCTCCCAGCTCATGAACTCCCGGTTTGTCGGAAATCTCAATGGCAAATAGATCACGTCCTTGCACTGACTTCCCAATGGTGTAAAGACGAGTGATGTTAGGAAACCTGTGAGCGTAGAAGCTCATATAGTTGTGAAGATCGTCATAGTGATGATAAACAAAATCAGGAGAGGTCAGAAATCCATCGGAATTTAATCGCAAGGACGTATCAGTAGGTTCGGGCGTCTCCGTGATATCAGTTGTCTCCGTCTGAACAGATCGTTTTACTAATTGAATGTTTAGAACCTTGGACGGAGAAGTTTTGGAGAGAATGACTGATTGCGGAGCAGAGGTTTCATATCCTACAGCACTCACAACCAGAGTATATTCACCCTCTGGTAACAGTCTCCAGTACTCTCCACGCTCTGTGCTAGTAATATTATGATTTATTCCGACCACGGAAATTATGGCTTTATTTATGGCTTCTCCGGCCTCATCCTGAACCAGCCCACTCACCCCCAGGTGTATGGACTCCATGTAGGCCAGCATTGACTCCTTGTTGTTTGACCACTCCCCCGGGAGTACTTGCCTTCTAGGATATTTACAGCAGGAGAGCTCCATAGTTATTTCAAAACAGTTTGAATGAAGATAGTTAAAATCCTCCATACCGCCAGGAACATCGTACCAGTGTGCTCCATTCGTAATTCCACCTGAAAATTTAGTTTGTCTGTTATATTATCATCTAAAAAACAGTTTAAATATCTCCTAATAATTCTGAATTAAGGGCTAATCAAAGGATCAGAAGCGTTTGTTTGTTTGCGATAAAATGTTTTAAATTGATTTTTAATTGTTGTGTTATGATTGGCCCAGTAAAACGTTGCGTTATGATTGGCCCCTGTAAAATGTTGTGTTATGATTGGCCCCTGTAAAATGTTTTGTTATGATTNATGATTGGCCCTGTAAAATGTTGCGTTATGATTGGCCCCTGTAAAATGTTGTGTTATGATTGGCTCCTGTAACATGTTGTGTTATGATTGGCCCCTGTAAAATGTTGTGTTATGATTGGCCCCTGTAAAATGTTGTGTTATGATTGGCCCCTGTAAAATGTTGTGTTATGATTGGCCCTGTAAAATGTTGTGCTATGATTGGCCCTGTAAAATGTTTGGCCCCTGTAAAATGTTGTGTTATGATTGGCTCCTGTAAAATGTTGTGGTATGATTGGCCCCTGTAAAATGTTGTGTTATGATTGGCCCCTGTAAAATGTTGTGCTAAACTTTAAAAAAAAGAAAAGCCAATGCTTACCTGGAAAATTGTCGCCTTCACAAAGGTTTCCTCTAAACATAGTTTTATGATTAGAAGCGTAAACAATGGCAAGATACTTAAACATCCCGTCATCCGGAGCCGCGGAGTACGCTCCCTCCATGATATGACTCCGACTATCGTCAAAGGGATAGCTAGCGACGACAGAACCGCCATGCAGGTTCCCAGAGAGCACAAACGGGTTGGAAACGATCCAGGTCATGGCGGCCAGGGTCTCCGGTTCCCGTCCAGTCAGCAGGGAGTTCTGATCTTGTCCGTCCCTGTACTGGTCGGGGAAGTTTCTGTTTAGATCTTGTCTGTGAGCGTTCTCCCGGCCCGCCCCGCCGGACTGAAGGTTACCGCAGTCCCCCTCCTGACCGGCAGCGAACCCGTCCGGGTTCAAGGACGGCATCAACCAGATATCAGTATTGTTCAACAACCTTAAACAAAACTTAAGTAGATCAAAGTCAAGAATTTAGTTTATTATAAAACGAAATTATTTTAGAATGAAAAATGATGTAGGATAGGATAAATAAATCATTGTTTTGCATTACTTTTAAGCAAAATGTAAACTTCAATTTTAGTGTCCTTTTTAAATGGATTGGCAGTTATTCGATTCCGATTCCTTAAGTTCCGTCCTAGATACATTGATTGTTTCTTGTTTCTCCCTGAGCTGCATCTTCAAGTGTATGGATCTTTTTTCTCCTCAAAAATGTCGCCAAAAAATTGAGCTAGAAGTAACTCAAAATTCTTTCCTGATTGGTGGAAAATCCCCATGTTTTGCCGCGAGTATATGAAAGATGGAAAAGTTTAATAAATTATGGTTTTTAGAACATTAAATTTGAACAACTTTTGCCAAAACGTTTTGTTTGTAAATACATTAGAAATTAGAAATTGCATTACAAGGAAAAGAGAACAAATAAGTTTTAGTCGAACCCTTGATTTTTGCAGATTTTCATGAAAAACTTTAAAATGAGAATTGTTAAAACAAACAAAAAACACTACCGAATTTTTATTTTTATATTTTTGAGAACTAGAGAACCGGACAAAAAAAATGGCAAAATATGTTTTTAAAAGATTAATGTTCCTCCAAGGACACTGAGTCTAACCTACCTCGTAACCCTGTCCTCGATCCCGTAGTTGCTAAGAAGGTACTGAGTCATGAAGATCACCATCTGCCTCCCCACCGCCTCGTTTCCGTGCATATTCGCCACCCACTTAAACATTGGTTTCCCCACCACCCTCTCCTCTCCTACTCCAAGGGTCACCTTGAAATAACAATTACGTAATTAAAGGGACTGTAAGCGTATTTTCTAATGACCCTCAGTGCAAAGATGGTAATTTTTCTAGGGTTATAAGTGTTAAATTATAATCATTCCTAAATGTTTTCCTGGTGTAGAAATTTACCATTTTTGTAAAATC